GGGGGATTAACTCCAATAGTGCAGTCAAAAATTCGTGGCGCAACTGATTGTCAAATATATTGAACATCGTTTCTGCGACTTTTTCCCTATGGCTTATATCAGTCATCTATCATCCTTATTTCTCCTCCTTTTTTGTGTTTGTTACTGTCTTGTAACACTTCTAATCTTCGGCACTTATATGACTGTTTTGTGCACAAGTGCTGTAAAACTCTTACTAAAACTAGAGACCATTTTCCCAACGTCCGTTTAAAAGTTGTAATTACGTTTTGCCCAAAGTGTGAATAAAATTATTTAATAAGATATTTTCTCGATTATTTTGGTGTGTGAACATTCATCTTGAATTCAAGATTTATTTTCATTCACAACTCAGTGATGCCTTCGAATAAAAGTTATGTTCATAATATTATGTTCCTATTGTGGGGGGAAGTTGTTCATTTCTACCTGTTTTTTTTCTCACTTTGATTACCCTTTCAAACAAGTCAGCCTTCACCCCTGATCTAGATTTCTTCTTCAAAGATAGTCCTACAAATGCTCTAGGTTCTTTATACAGAGACAGATGCTCCTATAAATACTCAAGACTTCCCCTAAGCCCCAAACAAATGGATGGTCCTACAAATAGGCTACAAACACTCTAGATTTCCCATACGTTTCACAGAAATAGATGGTCCTACAATTAGTCTAGATACCTCCTACTCTTTACAAAAATAAATGGTCCTACAAATAGATTACATTCCTCATAAGTTTCACAGAAATAGACGGTCCCACAAATGACCTAGACTCTTTTTAAGTCTACCCCCTCCCCCCCCCCCCCGCAAAAAATTTAAAAAATACCACAAACAGTTGAAATAGTCTAGAATACCTCCTAAGTTTTACAGAAATAGATGGTCCTACAAAGAGGCCTGATTCCTCCTAAGTTTCACAGAAATAGATGGTCCTACAACTAGTCTAGACTCCTTCTAAATCTCCCCCCCCCCCCCAAAAAAAAAAAAGAAAGACGGTCCTACAAATACTCTAGATTCCTCACAGAGCCGTTCAAGCACTAGACATGTTCATCTAAAAGCAAGATTTCACCTAGAAATGCTCTGCAAACATAGAAACAAACACAGACACACACACACACACACAAAATAGAATCTTGTCTCACTTGGGCAGAGGTTCTCGCTGCAGACGAGATATTCTGCCGCTGGTCCCTCGCACGGGGCCCCTTTGTACTGTGGTTCCTGACAGACCCGGGTTCGTTCCTTCAGTCCGCCCCCACATGTCACGTTACAGCCAGACCATTCCGACCAATCCAGCCACTTGCCGTCAACTAGACATGACGAAAAGTGAACAAAAAGGAAATTCATCAACTGGACATTACCAATTGGGTACAAACTAAAACTTTTTCAACTGGACATTACCAAATGTGAACAAAATAGAATTTCATCTACTGAACAAAAAATATGAGCAAGCTAGAATCATATAAAATGGGAAAACATCAACAAAACAGAATCATATTAACGGGAAAAAGAAATAACAACAAAATTAAGAATTATATCAACTGGACATTACGAAATGTGAACAAAACAGAATTATATCAACTGGACAAAAAATATGAACAACATAGACATTATTTCCAATCAATAGGACAAAAAAATATGATCAGGTCAGAAATTTCAGAAATTATTTCGAACCGAAAATAAATTGTACCACACTTTTTCCGTCTTCTGTTACTTTACGGGGTCAAGAGAAGAAACAAACGTCTCTCTCTCTCTCTCTCTCTCTCTCTCTCTCTCTCTCTCTCTCTCTCTCTCTCTGTCTCTGTCTCTGTCTCTCTCTCTCTCTCTTGTTTGTTGCATCGCCATTTGCCTGGTTATGTTGTTTTTGTCTAATGTAAAGAAGTTGCAACCGGTGTTTGGGATATTTGGACGCACATACACAATCCCATAGTCATTGGGATGTCTAATTTTAACAATTATTTGACGAGCAAGTCCCAAATAAATAGTAAATGTACATTTTGTGTTGTGAATTTCAAAATGAAATATCACTGGACGTCGAGGACACTGTCAGCGGCCAACAACTTCATCCGTCAGATTTTTTCACGATACAAACCTGATAAAAGTAAACTTGGGCCTCCATTAGGAGCTTACTTGATCTACTACGAAGGTCCTTCCTCTTTACTCTCTTCTTGGGGCTACATCAAGTCTCCGTGACGTCATGTGCACAAATCTCGCTGTTTCGTTTAACTTATTTGAGCGTCGTAAAAACTCTACTAAAACTAACATAACTTATTTTAAGAGTGAGGGGTCAACAGTTAATTTTACAGAGCCTTTCTTATGACCACGCACACCCCAGCAATGCCAATTTGCTGCCTCAGAATTACAAAGTTCTATCAGATGTTTTTGGGCGTTTTGAGTTACTAAGACCATAGGTATAAATTCAAATGCTATATCTGTTCTATCAAAATCATAAGATTATTTGGAGTCGTTATCAAGATATTCAAAGAACTGCATTCGAAAAAGCTTGAAATATTGGGAAACTCGAAATTTTTTTACGTCAAATTTCACAAAACTAGGTACTGAGCAGATAGAACTTTGTAATTCTGAGGTGGCGAACTTGTTTGGATTGTGTAAATGTCGTGTACCAGCAAGGGGGTCAAGGGCTGCAGTGGAAAGGAGACGGCAAGAAATGTAGCCAAACCCTCACAACACCAAATATTGCATGTCATCGCAATTTGGCTCCTTATGTCTGAATATTTGGAAGATATTGTAGATCCAAAGCAGGGACTCTGGTCCATAAACTTACTTGTTTGGCTTACATCACAATCACACTTATCATCGATGTCGATGGACAGCCGAAGGAAGGATTTTATACTGTATACACCAGAGGCTCGCAAGAAGTTGCGCAATTAGAGAACTTGAATTTAAAAAAAAAAGAGAAATGAAGTGAGATAGTACTTGAAGAAGCCGACGTGAGCCGCTCGTTGATTTTAAAAAAAAAACAATTAGGAAGAGACAAATACAGCTTCTGGGACACTTGCATAGCTCTCATTGGCAATATTGGAGGCAAACGAGGCAGGGATAGGCCCAGAACAACGTACTTGGACTTGGAGAGCCTAAACAGATTAAATGACTTGGAGAGACCAGGACTGTGTAACTTTATTTTAGAACATCAGAGCTAAAAACGAATGGTGAACAATGATTGTGGATACCTCTTGCAGATCTGGCACTTGATGGTGATGAAATACAAAACAAAGCAATAAAAAAATAAATGAACAACCCCCCCCCCACCCCCGAAAAGAAGCAAGGCTTACTTGGACATGGGTGAGTACTGCAGTCTTGTGTGACGTTGGATGGACCCTGGCAGTCTTGACCTCCGTAGAGTGGCGGCACGCACGTGCGGTTCTTCCACTGAGTGCCCCCGCCGCACGTGAGAGAGCATTCGCTCCACTCCGCCCACTCACCGAAGAAACCATCAACTGTTGAGGTTGGAGGTCAGTTAAGGTTTTGGGGGGGGGGGATATTAAAAACAAACTAATTTTTTTTTCTGGGAAATTATGTTAGTTGTTTGCTAATGGCTTTTACATGCAGAAGAAAGACTGGCAACCATCGGGCTGAGCAATAACCTCGATCAATCTCAGCACCTCTAAGAACTAAGACTAGCGGGGGTTAGACACTTTCTGAATGCTACTGCTTTCTAAGAACAAAGACTAGCAGGGGTTAGGACAATTCCAGCAACTGCCCTCGGAATGCTGCAGCAAAGGCAAGACACTGACTGAATACTGCTCTCTAAGAACTAAGACGAGCACGGGTAAGGACATTTCCAGAAACTATCTCAGTAATACTGCAGCAAAGGTAAGCCACTGATTAAATACAACTCTCATATTGTGTTGATGTGTACTCATTGTAAGCGAGGAAATACTTGTAGCAGCTGGAGGAGGTTGCTGCTAGGAAGCATGTCTAACTTAAGCACACCAATAAGGCTTCAATAGAAAATTGACAGCTAGGGGATGTTAATATTCTAACAGCTGATAACGACAAGATTCGAATGGAACAGCAACTAAGACTAGCAAAACTACAGCCTATGTGCTTGAAGCAGTCAGGCCTACCACGATCGACTTAAACATGGTTCCGTCAAGCCCTAACCTCATACTCTACTCTCAGCAACAAAACAGACTATGAGTCTAATGAGGGCATCTACAAACGAACTGACTCAGCTATGATTATGCTTGGAGCGAATAAAAATACATAGAAATGATGCATACAAAAGGTCTTTCCTCCACAGAAGATAATAATATCATCTTGTAGTCTCTATATATGCTATTCTACAAAATACTTTAAGCACATTTTTGTACTTTTCTGTAAATTGCTATTCTACATGATACACTAAGCACACGTTTTGTATGTTTCTGTATAACAAAATGCTTTTCTGCAAAATATATTAAGCACATATTTTGTATGTTTCGGTATAAGCCATTCAATAAAATATATTAAGGTCAGTATCATCATTGTAAAGTAAACTGGTAGGATCTACTACGTGACCTAGCAATCACACATGCAGCTAGCTACACAGATCATCTATGGTTCTCCGTGCACGCAACCATGACTGGACAAGGGACACAACCGAAGGCAATTTTCTAACGTTCACGGAGAGAACCAGTGACTCTGCTACAGTGGGTGACACACACCAAGCTCATCAGATCTACAGAACAACTTGTGGCCAGCTGTTAATCGTTTTTTTGGGTCTTTTAGTTCCAATTGTCAAACGATGAGTTAGGGTTTAGTGGGATGACATTGCGTTGGGGTATAGGGGTATGGCATCATAACGACAATATGGGAACAGTAAGCACACTACATTTACACACGGTTCTGGTTACACAAAATTTAGATAGCACAAAATATGCAAGAATAAGCAAAGCATTCATGGACAAAAAAATGAAGAATTACAGGTTCACATTCTCGTTAGCAAGTCTAGAAATAATAACTTGCTTGCAAATGAATAATAGTAAAGAGGAAGGCGGT